CAATTTCCTAAACTTATCCATCTAGTCCTATCGAGTTCCTACATAGATCATCCTGCTGTTCTGTACTAAGTTCCTCAGACTCTGTACTACCCGGTTTTTCAAATCACACGCCCCCTTATTCTAAACTAAAGCAGTCACTCGCCTGGAAAATCGATTTTAGTAGATTTTACTTGTTTTTTTGCATGTTTTTGTCTGTTTTATCAGTTTTTAGTTATTTTTAAGTTTTTTTCTCTCTCTATCTATATCCCCGGCTTGACTTTTCTATTAGACCTGTCTACTTCAAAGCAACTAGATCAAGATGAACAAAGAAGAACAAAGAAAGGAAGAATCTATCACAAAATGCACAACGCAAAGTACACAAACATACACAGACAGAAGACTAAGAAACTACCAATATTGTACATTATGCTACAGTGCAGCTACACTACCCTATACAATAACCAAAATTACTGTACATGATTCCTATCCTCTCTCCAAAAGCAGACCAAATTTCCACTTCGTCTCTTCCTCATCTTGGCGCATTAGGGTCGGGTATCTCCCCCAAATGTGCCAGAACTTCCCCCATCATCGAGTTGGCGATCTATGGCAACGGGAGATTTCCGCCATGACTGCAATCCTCAACCCTTTCTTCACCTGATTCTTGAGGTCCACCATTGTTACTTGTCTTCCCTCTCTCGCTTTCCAATTTCTTGCATTTCAAATCACCCACAGAACTGTAGCTCGAATCACCTCTCGCGCATACAGGCTGACTTTGTCGCTCTTGTTTCCTGCCATCAGGGCGCCCAGAAGGATCATCGCTGTGTCGTCTTCGGTCACCTGTAGCGGAGTATCGTTCTTCATTTCCTCACCCCACCAATGCCAGAATTGCTGCTGTACCGGACACTCCACAAAGACATGTGGAATGGACTCCTCTTGCTCACACCCTGCTGCGCATAGTGGGTCCACATACTGACTCTTGTTCACTTGCCACTGGGCCGTGGGCACTGCCAGGTGGTAGATGGACCATAGCAGCCCCGCTTGTTTCTGGTCTGAGTGCAGTTCTACCTGCCAAACGACCCAAACTTCATTCTTGGGGGGTGAGCCCAGTAGGTTGCTGTCATTACAATTTACAAAGTTGAGGGTCGTTTGTGGACCCGCTTTCCAGCAGATGCCGCTTCCCACCAATAGATGGAGGCTCCCCCTGAGACTCTGGGAGTGCTACCGTCTTGCCCGAGTACAATGCCCGGTCATTATCGCTGTACCTACACTGCAAGTTGAACCACATACGGCCAGAATAACGACGCGTTCTATTAGGGTGAAGACGGTAGTGGTGCCTGCTTTTACGGGGACCCCTAGCATCCGCTAGCGGGTTGTGCTAATGAAAAAAGGGGCGGCAAAAAGGGGTCATGAAAAAAAGGGGTAGCTTCAGTGCACTCACAGTCACAAGAACAGTTTGGAATTACCTGACAGGATAACTAGCTTGTATACATTACACTTAGTGCAATTTAAAACTGTTTTTTGCCCCAAGTGTCTTTTCCAAATTCTTTTTGTGATTCCCGCGGAATTTCTCCCCCCACACCCACCCCCCGTCCCCCCCAAAAAAAAAGAAAAAGAGGAGGTGCCTGCAAATTGCATAACCCAGTGACGCCCAACCTCAAGCCCGGCGCGACTTCCTGATCGGAGTGGGATGGGGGCCTGGAAGTGCGAAGAGGGGTGTGCCAAGGATTTTTGGGAAAGTGGGGGGTTGAAGTTGCAGGTCGGAATTGGGATCTTCTGTGGCCGAGTTCAGGGGCAGAGATGCAATAGAGCACTGGGAAAATTTACGGGCGCGGGCTTGCACGCTGGTTGTGCGGGGCCGTCTGATACTTACGTGATCCCCAATTCTGGGGAGCCTGTCGAGGCAGTCCTTGGGGCCCACGCCTTCGGGGTCTGCCACGTGGCGTGGGTTGGTGGGAACTATGCCTAGATGCCGAGGCTCCGGGGGTTCGGGTATGGGCACGTCGGCTGCAGCTTCTGCGTGGGGTGGAGGGCCAATAAGGCGCTATGGAATTCCACGGTACTACTGTAAGGTGATGATAGGGGAAGAGGAGGTGGTATGGCGGGAAATTAGTGGTGATAAGGATGAAGCCGGGGGTTATGAAATGCTGCGTGTTGTACGTGTTTGGGTAGTCGGGTATTCGTGGGTCGCTTCGCACGGCGAGATGGAATTCCCTTGCGCAAAATCTATCGTTTTCCGTGAGGCAGGGGAACACCGGGTTCCTCAAATTTCCCTGTAATCGGAGTTGCTATTTTTCCCAGATTTCCCGGTGCCCGAAATACGACTCGGAATCCTCGGAATTCCAAGATACGTCGGAACTCTGCGAGTTCGTCATTCTTTCATCACTCACGCCTTGAGGGATAAGTTAATCGGGGAGATCACCGCTCATAAGTGCGTAAGAGAGATGCGAACAAGTCGCACTTACGAGCACTTACGCGTGATGGGTAACCCGATCCCGGTTAACATTGACTCCTACTTCAGTGATGGGCTGACTACGGGTGTTAGCCAGGACGCGATTGGCGAGTCCGAGTGGTACGGACACATATAAGTCGCGCTCCATTCGGATCGCACTTGCAGGTGCCTATATGGCACGTCGGATGGTGCGCTCCAGACCTACGTCGCCACTTGTACGCACTCTCGTACGAGTACGGACTCGTACTTTTGTACTCGTACACTGATCGTACGCTAGGGCCCCCGTACGAGTTTTTTTTTTAAACTCCGGCACTGTTTTTATTTTTTTTCTCAAATTCTAATACGAATCTGAAGATTATGCTCATCCAAATGTTGCTTGTTTTGTGTTGTTGCATCACATAGTTTTTTTTTCGGATTTTTTTGATGACTTTTTTTTTTTTTTTTTTTTTTTTTTGCTTTTTCGTACGGGGGCGTACAAGATGTACATGTTCCCGTACGGGTTCCCGTACACATCCCGTACAGAAATAACCTGTACGTTTTGTACGGGAAGCCCCCGTACGTGTACTCTATCCCGTACAGATCCCGTACAGAAATAACCTGTACGTTTTGAGTCCAGACTACCCGTAAGATTCGACAAGCCAACACACTCTACTGATCACGCCAACATAAAATCCCCATTCTCATTCATTATGCACGAGGGTTCGAAGGGAAACGATCAAAAACGAAAATGCGAAGGTGCGCGAACCATCCACATCGATACAAAAAAAAGGGGAATCAAATCGAACAACAGGACGAGTATATGGCCGCAAAGACAAGGGCGAGTTGCCCGTAATCGACACCAAAATTTATATACACAGATAAAAAAAGGACCGAAAAGAAAAGCGCAAATCCATGTCCATCTTCGACTTCAACTCTCTTTCCTCTCTCTCTCTCCCCGATGCCGACAGTCCGTCGTCGCGCATCAACACATGAAGCCGTCACCCCGCTTAGTCCTCCTGCGCCCGTCAGGTTCGCTCCCCGCCCACAGTCCGTCGTGGCCCGCGTCAACCCCGCGCATTCGGCACCAGCTCGTCGGGTCGCCCGACTCCCACTTCACTCACGTCTTACTTCGCTCGTGTGCCGACCCTCTCGATCGCGCAACCCCGAGCTTCCAGCAACTAATAAGAGAGAAGGTTAATCGCGCAGCCGGAATTTATAGCGTGCATGCATGCGCGAAGAACACGGAATTACAAGGACGTAGATAGATGGGAGAAAGGGAGTGCTTATGTTTGCACGGTCGGGCCGCGGCGTGGGGGACGTACCCAACTCCACACATCGATCCGAACATGCAAACGCGGCTACCCAAGAAGGGAGGGGAGAGAGGAAGAAACGAGGCGGGAAGAATAAGAAGCAAGAAACAAAAAGATACAGTTATAAAAGTGTGGGCCCAAAATTACAATTGCAAAAGGATTAAGGCGCCAATCAATCAAGGTCCTGGCGCAGCAGCAAGAAAGAGAGCGCGAACACGCAAAGCAGCGCCCCAGAAAAGCAGAAATTCCAAAATTCCAAAATTCCTAGCTAGCCTGCCGATGAAAAGGTCCGAAAAAGAAAATCAAAATTCCGAAGGCCGTATGGCTCCGACCAAGATTCGAAACGAAAATTCAAGAAGGAAATTCAAAAAGAGACACCGAAATTCCCGCGCGATGTCTGCGCGTCCAAAAGTTTGACAAAACAAAATTAAAAGAAGAGAAACGAAAGAAAAGAAGCGACGTCAACGTTTATTAATCACGCACTCGGCGCGCACTCCGCATCCATCCGACCAAGTTTAACCCCCTTTTCCCCGTGCATTCCCGAATTGTCCCCAACTGTCATCAGGGGCTCGTGTGCGAACGAAGAAGCAACGAAGAAAGCAAGGACACACATGCAATTTTCCATCAACCCGTCCAATCGACGTGGGACCCCGCTTAGCACTTTGCGCAAAAAGTCGCGCATTACAGAAGCTAGTTCGTCACATATGTGACGCCCAGGGGGTTCCAAAGATAAGCAAGCTCCTGCTTGCTAGCTGACGTGTAGATCATCTTCGATTGATTGGCTGTGGATGGTTGATCTTCTTCTCTGCCGCATACCGTGCGAACGAGTATGGAAGTCATGCTGCAAGGCAGTCGTATCCTGGTCGTCGTCACTCGTGGGGAAGAGGGCAAGGAAGACGATAGGCAGGCGGAGGTGTTGATGGGGGATGAGTTGGGATAGGCGGGAAGAAACGTTCCAGCTCATCGTCCGTTTCCGGAAGGCTCTGATGATGGACGATTCTATGGAAGCGGGGAAATCGGCGGCCAGTAGTGGGGAGAGAAGCGAGGTAGTCGGGATTGAGAGTCGTGAAGGTTCTGAGAAGCGCCGTGCGAAAGCGATCGCGGTCGGCGCATGCGGGGATTAACCCCGTGATGAGGCAATAAACCTCTACGGCCTTGATACGACGCCATCCTGCGCTAAAAAGAAGTACATGGAGAGGGAACTCAGGGGAAGCACGCCGGGAGGATGAATGGGGATGGACTGTGACAGAGAGACGGATGGAGAAGTAATGACGGAAAGTGTCGCGGGGGAAGGGATTGCGGGGGAAGACGGCGGAACGGGTGAGCTGGCGCAGGGTGAGGAAGTCATGGGGTCGGAGAGAGAGAGCCCGAGGACGAAGACCGATCGGCCTCATCTCGACGTGCTCGAAGTACGGGACGCGCCGCGAGGGAGAGGGAGGCGGAGGGGAAGCGGCTTCGTCGTCGGTGTCGCGGTGGGGAAGGAGGCCGACGAATGGACGGCCCAACCATCTGGGCCACATCGCCGTCGCCTGGCAGAGGTGGCTCCGGGTCCTGCGTTGGATCGTTGCTGATCGGAAGATCAGCAACCGACGCAATTTCTAGCTGGGGATCCTCGTCGGTGTGCTCCTCGTCATTTTCGTCACCGCTCCCTTGCTTGTTGTCTTCTTCTTCTTCTTCCTCTTTGTTCTCTGTTTGCAGGAGCTCGTCTTCTTCTCCTTCTTGCTGCTGTGCTGGCTCCCCTTCGTCTTCGTTCGGATTCTCCTCCTCTTCCTCCGAACTTCCTTCCGCGAGCTCCTCGCGGATTATCTCCTCCAATTCGTCCTCGTACGGCGGTCTGTAGAACGCGGGATCTACCATGTCGAGCGGATCCAAATAATCCAACCGTGAAGGCGGAATTCTCGATGGGAAGCCCTCCACGCAAGCTGACCACTGAAGGTATGGCGACAACGCGCGCGAGGTGACGTGGGGCACCAAGCGCGGGTCCACCTGGGAGACAATGCTGACGTCAAGATCGTCGGCCAGCTGCGCAATCGGGACCGTAAGCTCCTGGGTGAGGAGCCTCCGACAGCCTGGACGCGTTGACCCGAATAGAAAACCGAGAAGGTCCCCCTCTACTTCCGACCGCCACGCCTGAATCAAAAAGAGTTCCAATCGCTCAGACCGCGGGTAATTTCTCTCGTCCCTCGTCCACGCCACCCGTACTTCCACCAAACACAGTGAGAGCTCGATGAAGTCTTTGCGCCACGCGTCCCACTGAGAGGGATCGAGGAGAGGAACAACCAGAGGATTTATGCAGAAGGAGAGGCGGGGATGAAGATCAAATTGCTAAAAGGTGGGGAAGGAAGAAGGAAGCTCGAAAGTAGAGATCGGGAAGGAGCTCATCGGGGATGGAAGGGGATGAGAGGGGGTAATTGCGTTGGCGGGTCACGCCGATCCAGCCGAAGGCTGTTGTATTTGATCGCTCGGATTGGTGTGATCACGTCCCCTTGGTGCGTCAGGAGATGGGTCCACTCGTTCTGAAGATTATGCACCCACAGCAGCAACGCCACCTTGATTCTCGTGTGTCCGCAGGGGGGGATCGCCATGAGATCTCCACTGAAATTAACTACCACCGTTATCCGGCCGACGCCCGCAGATGCTCGCTGTTGCAACCCGACATCTTCGGCCAATATGATCGCGTCAGCCCTCCCGTTGACATGGATCTCTGCTGCCGCGTAGACGCCCCTCGAGCAGAAGAATTGTGCAAGCCGCTGAAGGTCCGGACTAAGACGAGGATGATATACCTGCCACAGTGTCAAATTCCCACGTGGTACCAACGCTTCTTCACTTAGAGCTCTCTCCTCCATAAAGCTCATGGCGACGACGATGGTGACGGCATATCCGACAGAGATTGAGAAGGAGAAGGAGATGCAGAGGAGATAGAGTCGTCGTCGACAGAGGTTGATGGAGAAGGAGACGGAACAGAGGGAAGAAGGCGGAGATAGGACATGTGGCGTGTGATCGGGAGCGAGGTGCATGGTGTCCACACCGTTGGGTCCGAGTTCAATCACTCGATACTGTCCGAAGAATCGTGGCGCTAGTTTACCCTGGCGCGCACATTTCCTTACCTGCACGATGTCCCCTAACTTATACTGGGTCCTGGGACCCGCATTCCCGTTCTGGGCCTCGTAACTCCGGACCTGTCGGCCATGGGCCAATCCGGTGGACCGTTGTCGCTTCCGGGCCAGCCTAGGTAGGGACCGCTCCATAAGTTCCAAGTGCCTTTTGGCTTTGTCCCGAGTGGTGGCCCTTGTTGGGCGTCGGTTGAGACCTGATTCGTCGGGGAGGCTCGGTATCGACACACACGCGACACTATTGGTCCGCAACTGCAAGGGGCTTAGGCCTGTCGATTCGTGGGGCGTTCCTCGATGGATCGCCAAGATGTGGTCGACAATATCAAGCCAGGGTCGGGGGTCACATGCCGCAATATTCCACCGCAAGGCCGTTTTTATCACCCTATTCGCGTTTTCCACTAATTCGTTAGACTGGGACATGTGCGGGGCCGTGTGCTGTATGGAGACGCCGTGTATGACCAGGTTCCTCTCGACTTCTCCTCTAAATTCGACCCCATTGTCGGTCAGGATCTCTTCGGTGTCCTGGTGCATGCCTAGAAAACGGTTGACGTACCGCGCGATTTCCGCGGCTTGTCGTGTCTTGCAGGGGTAGGCCTCGATCCATTTAGAAAAGTGGTCGACGAAAACCAGCAGAATTGAATAGTCGCAACTATTCGGTCCGGGGGGCACCACTATATCAGTAGTATCCATGCTAACCCTCTGAAACGGCCGTTCAACCACCGTTGGGACTATCGACCTAGGCGGTTGGGTTGGGTCCTTGTCAGCAGCGCAGACCTGGCAGTGTTGGATAATGAATTTAACGTCGTCCCGGATATTGGACCAGTACCATTGATTTCTGTCAATCGCAGCTTCGGTAATACGCACGGCAAAATGCGCCGTCGTCTCCTTGTGGGCTGTCCGTACCCAATCGTACCGCATAAACGGGTGCGAAACTACTAACCATGCCCCACTGCCATCTGTTTTACGCTTTTCTAACCGTCCGTTCACCCATTGGTAATCCCGTGCTCTTTCATTGGCCCTCCTCCGATCMTCCTTGRAGAAGRCTTCGAGGGAGTTCCCTRCCAMAGTGGCTATCAAGGCSACATYYGTCCAGACTTCCGCTCTTCTAAATTTCTGAATCTTGTCAGGGCCTTCCGACGTGGCATCGAGGAATCGGGCTTCCGTCGGAATCTTGTCAGTGCGACATAARGGACAGAACTAGGGTTTATCACTACTCCGATATTGTATGCACGCACCATGAGCACGTGTGACACATTTCCGACAGTCTACCCATTCAACATATCCCCTCCCTTTAGGACACATGTGGACGGAATAGACTCGAGAGATTGCCTCGCAGAAATAGCAAAATTTGTAAGGAAGGGAGGCGAAAGAAGAGGATTGGGAAGAAAGAGAGGGATTACCTMMGTCACCCATTGCCCTTCACCGACTTCTTGCCACGTGGAATGAGCACAATTTCTCCATACTTTGGACCGTTATTGAGGCCCGGGTCCTTCCATGACGTGATTTCTTCCACCTTTGGTACTTTACTGGGTCGGTGCAAACGTGTCAGTCCGTCGGCGTTGCCGTGTCTCTCCGTTCTTYGGTGAACAATGTCAAACTCATACTCTTGCAACCGCACTGCCCATCGTCCGATCATGCCCGTGTAGTTGGTTAGCTTTTTCAGAGCCAACAGAGGTTCATGGTCGGTGACGAGCATAATCTTTTGACCGTACAAATACGGATGGAAGTGCTGGATACCCCACACTACCGCATAGCATTCTCCTTGTGGCGCTAGATCATTTCATCACTCGTCTGGCATCGTCCGGGAAGCGTACTCGATGACATGCTCCTTCCCATTGTTTCCCTTCTGTGCCAGAATGGCCGAGATAGTCTCCGGCTGCCAGTTGGTGATGAGAATAAACTGCCGAGAGGGGTTCGGTCGAATCAGAATCGGGGCCGTGACGAGAGCATCCTTGAGGGCCCCGAAGGCCTGGTCACACTCGTCATCCCAATGAAGGGGCTGTTCTTTTCGCAGCAGGTTTGTCAGAGGCCTTGCTATAGCCGCGAACCCCTTGATGAACCGTCGGTAATACGAGGCCAGGCCCAAGAAGGCTCGAACCTGCGTCAGTGAGGTCGGAACCTGGGCCTCTTTGACCGCCGCGACTTTTCGAGAGTCCGGCCACAGGCCTCCTCGTGTTACCACATACCCCAAAAAGGAGATTTCCGGAAGGAAAAACTCGCTCTTTTCCAGCGCAA